GTGGACTCAACCAATTATAAGATTGAACGCACTGCAAGATTTCTTGATGACGGTTAGAAATAAGACCAATTCCTTGTCGTTCACAAACTACATGTGTCCATAATAACTTGAGAAACCATGACCAAGACTCAAAACTCTCACGTGCAACTAAAGCATATGCATGTGGGGAAAAAAAATTCATTCGCATCAATTTCAACCGCAATTAACAATTTGATATCATACAAACCATAAAGATGTGTGCCGTCGATAGAAATGAACGGCCTACAACATTTGAAACCATCAATGCTCTGTTTAAAAGCCCAAAAAAGAAATTTAAAAGTTTGCTCACCTTGCATTGTTGTAGAATGATGCTCCCACTCAATAATAGTGCCTGGATTGAATAATTGTAGTGCAGCCATGTATCGAGGTAATGCCTTAAATGAACTTTCAAAATTACCATAAACCATTCGAAATGCTTTTCTTTGACCTTTTTATGCTTTTCTATAACTAGGAGTATAGTGATGTTTTCCTTTGATAATTTCACGGATCATCTTAATATTTATGTCTGGATTTTGCATAACATATGATATTAAAGAAGTGGCAATTGTGTTATCATTCAAATTGAAATGATCCTCCTTATAGTTATATGTAAGACAAGTATGCGGTTCAATCATTTTTCCTGTCTTTCACATACCGCTTGAAATCTCTCTAAACCGAATCATCCAAGCACACCCTAACTCATGACGCTTGCAAATAACTTTCCAACTTTTACTCTTGGATTGATCACAAAGAAATTATTTTTTAATAGCAAGACTATATGCTTTTACTGCAGATTTCATTTGCATCTTATTCATAAATTAATCAACATGAAATAAATAAATAAACAACTATAAAATATTTAGTTTTCAACAATCGAACCTGACTGTATATGTTTAGAATTGTTTGAATTCCAAAGTGTCATTCGAATGGAACCGTCATCTCTCGTGTAGATAAAATCTTCAGCATTTTCTTCAGTGTGATCTAAGTATGGAATCACTGTAGAATGATAATTAAGACTTTGATCTTCAACGGATGCATTAGGTGCATTATCCGCATTATCATCATTGTCGTCATACATATCATCACTGTCTGTTAATTCATGCTCAGAAGGTTCATCATTGTGCAACTCACCAACCCGTTCATAACCCATAACATTACTATTTACAATTTGTGTACAATAATTCGCTGCATTTTGGAGTTGATCATACCTATAAAAATAATAATATAAATATATTACATATAAGAAAAATAGTTTTGAAGAACTAAGAAAACATTACTTTATTTACCTATTCGTTGAATCCGATGAGAAAAAATTCAAATGACTGAAATTTTATCTAGACTCTCCCATAATAGCACACTTCAATTAGAAATAATGATCGCTTGAAGTAATGATCACGATTATATATATAACAGTTTATGAAATAGCTATGTGAAAAACGATATTTAAAAATACTAAAAAAAAAAATGAATTCGCTATCTAGGTAGCGATTTTCAATTTTTTTTTTAAAAAAATCGCTGTCAAGGTAGCGATTTAACATTTTTTTAAATTATTTTTTTTTGAAATTTCCATATTTTAAAAAAAAAATCGCTACCTTGGCAGCGATTTACCTTATTTTTAAAAATCGCTGCCTTGGTAGAGATTTTTTTAAAAAATATTTTAAAATCGCTGCCTAGACAGCGATTTCATTTTTTTAAAAAAAAATCACATTTTTCAAAATCGTTGCATAGGCAGTAATTTTGCTTTTTTCGATGGAGTAAATCGCTGTTGATGCAGCGATTTTACCGTTTTGGTTAATATAAAATTTTATATACCATTTTGAAATTTTTGTTAATATTTTGTACCCTTTAGGCTCCGAACTCTTCTTTTGTGAGCATATAAGAAAACTGATATTCCCTCCGTCTACAATTGTTTTTCAGGCTAAGGTTGCACTTTCTTCAAGAAAAATTTAATAAAAGGTGTAATTTGACTAAGACTAGCAAACGGACAGGACCGGTTTTATCGGTAACCGGATCGATATCGGTTTTTTCTTACGGGATTTTCTTACCGGTACCGGATTTTACCGGACCGATTTTACCGGAAAAGTCTCCCTGTTCCGCCCGGTCCATTAGTAACCGGTTTGGAACCGGGTTGGACCGGTTTGGAACCGGGTCTTACCGGTTCTTCCGTTTTTTTTAAAATTTTAATTATATAATTATTATATAATATTATATATTCATATTAAAACTTCAATTAAAAACTTTAAAGTTTATATAAGTTTGAAATAAAATTTATACTTAAAAGTTTATATTGAATTTAAAGTTTCAAATTGAATTTAAAGTTTTATATTGAATTTAAAGTTTTTTAAACTTTATATTGAATTTAAAGTTTGAAATTAAATTTAAACTTTAAAGTTTATATTGAATTTAAAGTTTTAATATAAACTTTTATTAAAATAATTAAAAATTAAATTTATAAAATGACATGAAATAAATAGAAGAGACTATTATAAAAAAAAATCAAGGCGAATAGTCGTATATTTATTCAAATAAATAAATTATACAATACAAATATTAGAAAGAGAATAAGAGTATATAATTTAGGAGGAATTGAATATTAAATTAGTAATTATTATACTAACAATTCCATTTTTTTTAAAATTCTTTTTGTAAATTTTGTATCATTTGAAAAGAAAGATTTTTTGGAATTGGCATTTGTCGTTCTTCTTCCATTGCTTCCATGCCATCATCACTATTCTCACCAAATATTTCATCTATTTGGTCTTCTATATGGCTACTTAATAGTGGTAGTCTGGTGTTTCTTCTTTCGGCATTGACCCAATCTCGAAACAACACCGATATTTCCAAACTGTCCTTTGCTAATGAATATCGATGATCTCCAACCATAAATCTCGTTGCACTAAAGTGTCACGACCCGCCCGATACCCAGGCAGATCACGACCCGTCTAGGCAGCCAGCAGCCTGTGCGGGGGGACAGACAACCCAAAACGGCCAGCAGGCAAAGGGGCAGGCGTCCAAGCAGGCAGCAGACAGAGGGTCAGGAGTTACAGCCGTTACAGGCAGTTTCAGCCGTTTCATCAGTTACGGCCGTTTCAGCAGTTACAGCATGTGAAAGGTCAGCAGGTTCCAGCCTTGGAGGGGCTTGTGCAGGGCCTCTGGAACGTGGGGCAGACTAGGGAGCAGCTAGGAGTCCCTTTTTGGAAGATTTAGAAGCATGTCTTGTGGGCATGGCTTAGGGGCTTGTATATAGTGTAGCATTTATTTACTCTTAGTGTCTAGAGTAGTATAAATAGGTAGCCAATGTATTTGTAATACATCTATCAACCAACATATCAATACAAGTCTTTTCTTCCAAAAATCTGTCTTTGTTTTCTCTTTCTAAGTTCTCTTAGCGATCCAAGTAGAGGAAGGCTTACTTGAGTCTACAAGATTGTGCAAGAATCGTGAGTAGACCGTCAAGTGCCGCACGGAGTATTGTCCGATTTGAAAAGTCTGTGACAATTGGTATCAGAGCAGGTTCATCGTAAGAGAACGAACGAAGGAGACGGCATTAGCAGCACCCCCAACGTCCGCACTGATGGTGGCAAGAAGAACAAGAAAGGGAAGAAGCAGCAGACGGGTAATGAACCCAATCTGCCCGGACTTCCCCCAAGCGTTCCTCCACCAGGTGTTCCTACATCAAGCGAAGGGCGAACATCTCTCCCTCCCCAAATTGTCGATGGAAGTGACGTAGACACAGGCGAGGAGTCCGTGGACGTTACTGTCGGACCGGAGTGGATTGCAAGGGTCGAAATGGCGAGGCAAGCCGTTGAGATCATAGGCCAGCGCTTGAATAGAACGGACAGAGATCTCAAAGCTCTTGAAGAGTACTCTCTTGAGGAAGTTGAGAACGTCCGGAAGGAGTTGGAGGCACGCCAGCGAGCCGAGTACGAGACAAAGGAGGCCATTACTTCCTTAGAAATCAGATTTAGGGAAGCACTTGGCACAATCGAGTCGCTTAAGGCCAAGGTGGCAGCACTCAAGGAGGATAGAGAGGTTGGTGGATCCTCATCACATGACCGGGAAAGGGAAGCTAGAGTTGAGGCGCCCAAGCCACCAGTCTTCAAAGGCGTCCATGACGCGCAAGCGGTGGATAATTTCCTTTGGCACTTGGAAAATTATTTCAAGTGTATGCGGGTCCGTAGTGATGTGAACAAGATCAACACTGCTGTGTTGTATATTTCAGAGTTGGCCATGCTATGGTGAAAGCGTAAAGAGTCTGACATCGCAAAGGGGACGTGCACGTTGAACACATGGGAGCAGTTCCATGTGGAGTTCAAGAAGGCATTCCTCCCTAGCAACGTTGTCTATGAGGCAAAGTACAAGATGCGGGAGTTGAGACAAAAGGGCAGCATACGCGCGTATGTGCGGGAGTTTACCACCCTTACATTTCAGATTCCCGACCTCATGGACGACGACACATTGTTCTACTTCATGGATGGGCTGCAAAATTGGGCCAGAACGGAGTTGGAACGGCGGCAAGTCAGGACTATAAACGATGCCATCACGCAGGCTGAAGCCTTGATAGACTTCAGGCGAGAGAAGTCTCTTAGTACCGAGGAGGACGACGAGGTAGGCAGTCATGATAACAGTGGGGAAGACAGTGGCGAAGGCGAGAAGCAAACACCACAACCCAAAAGGCTGACACCTACGGGTCCAGCGACAAGAAGCCCGGAGATCGTGTCAACACGGTAAGGGATTCCAAGGATGGTTGCTTCATATGCAAAGGGTCGCATGGTTACAAGAGATGCCCTGAACTGAAAAGTCTTGGTGCTATACTCCGTGAGCGGAAGGAAGAGAAAGCCCAAGAGGAAGTCGGGGAGACTAATTAGTTGGGCGTAGTAATCCTATGCGGGGCTGTCATCGAGCAACCATCGACGAGTCTAAGGCAAGATAAGCCAAGGCAAGCGGTTCCGAAGCATGCTGACAAGGGACTTGCGAAGTCTATGGCGTGGGCTCAAACGGTTGACATCACGGTCAATGGGAAGATTGCTCGTGCGTTGGTCGACACCGGTGCGGAGGTCAATGTTATGACCAAGACGGCAGCAAAGAGGTTGGGGTTGCAATATACTGCAAGCAACGCCCAAATCAGAACTGTCAACGCATCACCGACTCCCATAGTTGGAGTAGCGCACGGCGTGAACATCATGGTAGGCGATTGGCAAGGGAAAACCAAGTTCATCGTCGCCCCCATCAATATGTTTGATGTTATTCTTGGACAGAAGTTCTTCCAGCAGCGCCATGCAGTAATCGATCCTCATCTCGAAAAGTTGACAATCATGGAGAAAGGAAGGGAACATACAGTTCCCATGGTGAAGGCGCAGGCAACGGAGGGACAGGCTAGGCTGAGAGACATGAAGCTCGAAAGGGTCGACGTGAGAAGAAGGTTAACACCAGCAGCGACCATTGCAAGTTCGAGAGAAGACAATGGTGCTGGAAAGTCCATGCCACCGGCAGTGAGAGGGTTCCGAGTAGGAACGCTGACATGATGAAGAAGCCGACGGAGCACTTGCCTCCGTTGAAGGAGGAAGTTCGGAAGATCGGGTCGAGAAAGGACGGGACATCGATGAAGAGGCTGCTCGAAGGGATTGATCGAGTACGCGAGTTGATGGTCGCCCGACAGAACTCAACGCCGATACGGACGCAATGCGACGCGGTCGTCGCATCATCAGGTGGGGGAGTTTGTCACAACCCACCCGATACCCAGGCAGATCACGACCCGTCTAGGCAGCCAGCAGCCTGTGCAGGGGGGACAGACAGCCCAAAATGGCCAGCAGGCAAAGGGGCAGGCGTCCAAGCAGGCAGCAGACAGAGGGTCAGGAGTTACAGCCGTTACAGGTAGTTTCAACCGTTTCATCAGTTACGGCCATTTCAGCAGTTACAGCATGTGAAGGGTCGGCAGGTTCCAGCCTTGGAGGGGCTTGTGCAGGGCCTCTGGAACGTGGGGCAGACTTGGGAGCAGCTAGAAGTCCCTTTTTGGAAGACTTAGAAGCATGTCTTGTGGGCATGGCTTAGGGGCTTGTATATAGTGTAGCATTTGTTTACTCTTAGTGTCTAGAGTAGTATAAATAGGTAGCCAATGTATTTGTAATACATCTATCAACCAACATATCAATACAAGTCTTTTCTTCCAAAAATCTGTCTTTGTTTTCTCTTTCTAAGTTCTCTTAGCGATCCAAGTAGAGGAAGGCTTACTTGAGTCTACAAGATCGTGCAAGAATCGTGAGTAGACCGTCAAGTGCCGCACTGAGTATTGTCCGATTCAAAAAGTCCGTGACAAAAGGCTTGCTCCGAAGCGACCGATGATGCTTGAATCGCTAGCACATCTCGAACAATCCTAGAAAGGGTCGAAAATTGTTTTTCACGATTCTTCCACCAATTTAATATTCGAGGTTGAACTCCTTCGTCACGCCTAATCTTTTCCCGTGCCTGGTTGAAATATAAATCAAAATCATTATTAGTTTCATCACTTTCAAGCTCAAGATATTCATCCATCGTATCATCCGTATCATCACTTTTAGGCTTAGAAGATGAAGGTTCAACTATTGGAATATTTTTTTCCATAACTTTATATGCATTATATAAATCTTTAACTTTTGTATAAATGCTACTTTTACATTGTTCAATACTAGGAGTTTCATCATCTTTAATTTCTAAATTTTTATAAATCTTTTCAACCATTCTTTCAACACATCTTAAATTATAATTTGGGTTGAAAGTAGTAGCAGTCAAATAGATTTGAGGAATAGGGAAAAAATATTTTTTGAATTTTTCAATCATAAAAGCAACTGAATCTCTAAAATGTTCTTTTCCTTTAATATTTAGCAAGTTCAATTGAAATAACACAAATATTTACTAAAACAGAAGAAATAGTAGGATAGTATAGACCAGAACATTCATTTGTTGCTTTATAAAAAACTTTTAAAAAATCAATCAGTTCTTTTGTATTTTGCCAATCTTCAAAGCCAATTCTTAAATTTGGATCCGCATTATGAGCATCAAAAACTAATTGTAGCGGTTCTTGATAAACATAAGCAACTTGAAGCATTTCAAATAAAGAATTCCATCTAGTGCATATTTCTTTTGGAATTTTTCTATATGCAAGTCCACATTCATTACAACGATTTTTAAATTCAGTAATTCTAGCTTTTACTTTAGCTTTAAAAATCCAATTACAAGCAAGTCTAATTTTTTCACAAGAAACTCCAAATTGAGAAATACCATCTTTTACTATTAAATTATAAACATGTGCGGCACACTTAATATGAAAACAACCATTACCAATTGGACAAAGTCTAATTTTTAAATAATCAACGGCACTTAAATTATTAGAAGCATTATCTAAAGTGACACTCATTATTTTATCACAGATTCCATAATATTGTAAAATAGAGCCTACTTTTGATGCTATATAAGAATCGGTTTTATTTTCTTCAACATATTTATACGCTAATATTCGTTTTTGCATGTTCCATTCATGGTCAATCCAATGGACAGTAAGTGTAAAATAATCGTTACCATTAGGACTACGTCCCATATCAGAAGTAATAGATAACCTACCATCATAATAAGCAAATAAACAACAAAGAAAATGAGAATATTCTTTTTGATATTTAAAAAGATCACTTTTAATTGTATTTCTTGGAATACCTTCATAATCTGGGTTATATAATTCTCGAATATAATGAACAAAACCAGGATGAGAAGGAAATTAAAAAGGTAAACCACAAACAGCAACCATTTTAGCTAATGTGCGGTGTGTGCTTCGACTAGCCGGGTTAGACATATTTAATACACCTTGAACCATATTAGAACCTCCAACACCCATAGAACTTTCGGGTATGGGTATGCCATTTCTATTAGCTCTTTCTATATCATCTAGGCGAGCAAATTCTTTATTACACTTTCGTAAATGTGTTCTTAGTCGTCCCGTTCCCCCTTGTGTACCCGTAGTTACGTGTTTCATTACCAATTTACATTTAGTGCACGTAACAGTAGTTTTCTCCTCATTTTGTATCAAAAATTTCCATACTAATGATCTTTTAACACGTACAACAGCGACATTTGAAAAAGTAGGTAAAGAGGGGACTTCGGTAACCGGACTAGTCGGGGTAGGGGTCTCTTCATCTTCCTCATTTATTTCTACTTCTTCTTCTAATTCTTCTTCAAAATTATTATAATGTCTATTTAAAGACTCATGATCTACTTCATCTTCAGAATTAAATTCAATAGGTCTTGGTGACGTAAAAAAAGTTTCATTAACATGAGTATAATCATTAGTATTAACTAAATATCTAGGTGGCAAATTTTTAGAACAAGAACTACTTACTCCTCCCTTTTTATTTTTTAATTCCGACATTGGTCTTTTACCACTATTTCTTTCCGAATTCATGTTAAAATTTAAAATAAATAAATATTAAGAGAAAAACAAGCAAAATAATATAATAAAAGAGATAAAATAATTAAATTAATAAACAAATAACAATTAAAGTTAATAGTTGGAACGAATGTACCAAACGTCTACGTAAAAGTAGACGTATAACCAAAGCCGGATTTGATAGATGCCGATTGTAGCTTCCGAAATTCAAACTTCAACTCAATATCACAATATAATAATTAATAATTTATGAGAGATTTATAATTGAGAGTTTGAGACTTTGAGAGATTGTATAAGTATTGAATTTGTGATTTAAAATGGAAAAAAATGGTACATTTATAGTGTAAATGGGTTAGAAGGGGGTGAGGGGTCATATTTGACCGTTTTGGGCCCCAGCTCAACGGCTAGAAGGGCCCAACGGTCATATAAAATGGTAACATTAAAAATATAAAAAAAATAATAAAAAACTGGTTAAATCGGTTCTTACCGGATCAGACCGGACCAGAACCAGTTCTTACCGAACCGGTTTTACCGGATAAAAAACCAGGAACCGGTCCGGTACCCGGTCCTGTACACTAAAAGACCGGTTTCTTACCGGTTCAACCGGTACCGGACGGACCGGTATGGGAATCGGATTAGAACCGGACCGGACCGACCAAAAACCGGTCCGTTTGCCAGCCTTAAATTTGACTAATATAACACTACTATAGCAAGAATATCGCGTCTACATAACTTTTCAATTGAACAAAATGGAGTAATTATTAAGAGCAGAATTAAAAAAATAACTAATTATTTCTAGATTATTTAAATTGTCAATTAATCTTAGACACCTATTTCTAATATACTTGCCAAACGTTTGTAGACGGAGGAAGTACCTCTCATCTTAGACTAGAAAATATTATGACTATTTAAAGAGGAATTTTGATGATCATTATTTAATCAAAATATTTTAAATGTAGTCTTGCAATTTATTTTATTTATTCTTTAAATCTTCCCAACAATGTTTAACTTCTAATTGGGTTCACGTGTGCATATGAATAAAGCAAGTGGACACACCACCATAAAAACGCAGAACATTTTCAAAGCTTTGAAATAATCGAAGAATAAGGGACCTCAATGGTGAACAAAGATACTTTAACATGTTTCTATAATAAATATAATATACAAATGTGTCATTTAATTTGATCTTATGCTTCTTCAATCTTGCTGTCATTTAATTTGATCTTATTTTATATTTATGCATCTTCAACTTTGAATATAGACAAATAGATTAAACTTGCATAAAATTGAATAATAGACATAGAATATCACGTAAGACGCATATGTCTATTTGTTCAACTTTATATAAATTTAAATATTTACTTGCGCACACTCAAAAATTGAATGTCATGTATACGTGACATAAGTAGCTGTAGCAGCTCTAAGCCTTTTATGCTCAACATATAGTTTATGATCATTGTGTCATATTCCTTGTGGTAATTAGTGACAATAAAAAAAGAAGAATTAGAAGCACATAAATCTATCTGCGCAGTAACATACACAATTCTTGCTAGTATACTACTACTTAGTAATTATTTCAACCTAGAGAATGAAGGGTGAAACAATCCTAGCAGCAATTGAACAACTAAGCTAATGGATCTTGAACAAAGTGGAAGCAACTACGTACAATATCACCGGAAAATCAATTTGGGAAGTCGTAAGAGCCCTAAAAGTTCATACTGTGAGACTCGCTATGCAGAATAGATCTAATATCTAAAGAAACCATTGCAATGATCAAGTGGATCTTGAGTTAAGCATCACTCTTCATCATCAGAATCAGAAGTGTCATATTGTTGTCTTCGTTCTTCAATTGCACCACTCACGTGCCTTCGCTCAGGGTGAATAAAACCTGAAGCAAACTGGTTGGCTGATAAGAAGAAAAAGAAAACTGGTTAGCACATAAATAGGTAAATGAACACCAAAAGGACATTAGTGATTGAAGTATATAGTAATAATTAAGCAACAGGTAATACATGAAAGGAACGATTCATATCTAACACTTGAAATAGTAGCAAATCCCAAGTGTACTTATTTGGCTACCTGATACGAAGGTCCTCATCAGAAGTGCTCTCA